TCTGCTTGGATGTCAGCTATGGTCTCTTCAGGGTATATTCCCAGTAGTGGAATTGCTGGGTCAAATGGTATCTCTAAAGTAAGTATGTCACTTTGAAGAATATGATGTACTTTGCCTAGTTGATGGTATTTTAAATTTCCTCGTATGCATGTGAAAGCTGAACTGTAAATAAGGAAGACTGAAGAAGAAAACATACTTAAATTGTGGTGTTGGTGAAGAATATTGAAGAAGAAGAGACCTAAGTATATAGCAAGAATCCTTTTTACTGTAGAAGATGCCCAGGCTTGATCACACATCAGTTGCATACTTATCAAGAGGAGATAGTTGCTAGAGAAGTGCATCCCACGTGGTAAAATGTCCACAAAGGAGAGGAAAACCATTGCTAAGATAAAAAAGAGATTAAAAAAATAAGGGAAAAAGGAAGAGATAGGGGAAAATCTGATGCCAAGCCTCTTGGAGATCTCCATATAAGGAAACATGCGGAAGTGGCAAGGTCCTTCTCAGCAAAGATAGGAAACCATCACCTGCCTGCCCTTTGAAGTCACATCGGCATCCTTGACTGTGCGAAAGGATCTTTCCATTTGTTAAAGCTAGTGATATTTTTGTTACCGCAGGACCCGTAAAACTTAAGTGTTTAATTTCTTATGGTAGAATAAACTCAAACTCACTGCTGTAGAGCCAGTTCTGATTCTGAACAACCCTTGATCAGGTTTCACAGGTGTAAATCACTGTGGGATGAGAAAGCTCCCAACTTTTCCCTGCTAGGTGTTGGTGAGTCTGAGTCAGCCTCTAGAGATTGCAGCCTCTGTGTTAGCAGCACAAATCACTATGGATTACCCCACCAGAACTGAATAGAATAGGAATAGAATGTCTTTAATTATTTTATTGAGAAATTTTATTGAGGCATGTAATCTGTTTCAGATTTCTTTTTTGTGACATGTGCTTTTATTTAATAAAAAATGTGTTACATATGTACTTATTTTTCACTCTTAATAGAACATACTAATGAGATTTATCATTTTTACTTTATAAATTCTTTTTGAAGATTTTGTACTGTTTTCATTTTCTTTTTTCCTTTTAGGGAATGTCTTGGGAAACATGAGGTACGTCAGGCAGTAATTATTAAATAAAGCTTGTCTTCTTTGTCTTCTATGCTAGGCTTGTTAGAAGCAACAAAGTCAAAATTGGTATAGCCATCTAGTAATTGTAAAAATAACATTGACTTTACTTCAGAACTAGCCTACTATATGCATTCACTATAGAATTAGAATGAATATTTTGAGTATCCCTTCTAGGAATAGAACGTTTTGCTTTTTTATATTCCATTTTGTATAAAAAAATATTTTTTATAGATAACTTTGGTTTAAATAATAATTGCTAATCAGTAAGTAGTTATTTATACAGCAGGCATACACCTGACCCACATTATGTAATTTCATTTTCTCCTTATTCCTTCCAGTCAACTATTCATACACATTAATTTTTTTTAAATCTCTTTTTTTATTAATTTTAATGAAAATTTACAGAGACTTTGGATTTCCATTCATT